AGAATATTAGTATTTCTCATCTTCCCTCCGCTATCTGTTACTGCAGCCAAGTCCTGGGGGAGTGCAGCTGTAACCACACAGAAACTTCATTTCTTTACTATGACCTTTTCTCCTTTCTTTCCTTTTGATTCAAACTGGCCTCATCCAGCTCCCTCGCTGACCTGCCTCCTTCTGTGTAGCAAGACCACTCCCTCGATCATCAAGCTCTAAGGACAATGAGGTTCTGATCAGGACCAAATAATCTTAAGAACAAAGCCTTGGGTCTGTTGACCACAGACAGGGTTTCTATCAAACTAAAGAGAACATGTAGTCCTCAGTTGTGTTTCAGCTCCAGGCCCAGAAAAATGCTGAAACCAGATGAAGCTACACCATGGCTGGCACCAGGATACACGGCACTGACCAACTACCTGCTACCTTAGCACCGGCCAATCGGTAGAGGCCACAACCACAACCCTAACTTTCTTAGTCGCCATGATTAATAATTTTCCTACATATAGCCATGCCCTGAAAGCTATCACAGAGCCATGTCTTTGAGCATTAGATCACCTGTTTCTAGGAATGGGCCACCTTCTAAAAATAAACCCTTACTTTCTTTCTTGCAAACTCCTATTCATATCTTACTGGGTTTTGATGTCTGCAGGCAAACAGACTCCTTTGTCTGGTAGCACAGTTGCAAAGTGGGGCACTTGTGGAACAGAAGTTCTACTTTGTGTGTGGACCTGCTGAGAATACTGGAGCCCTAATCACCCTGGTCCTGGCTTCTAAAGTTGTTGTTAAGCCAAGAGAGGACTTAGGGCTCTGCTTGCTCAGCTCCCAGAGCAGGGGCGTCACTCAGAGAGAAGTTTCCCCGTTGTCCCCATTTCTAGCTACTGAGATCTGGCTCAAGACTACGCTTGAAGGGAGAAACAGAGCAAAAGACATAAAAACTCCTAATCTCTTCCAAAGAAACTGACTTTGTTTGAAACAGAGAGTGAAGAAGTTAAAGCCTAAAGGTACTCTTAAGGATAATGGCAGTGATTTATAGTGAAAAGCAATTGGTAGGAGATTCAAGAAACGGGCTAAACTGTAGGTGGGCCAGGTTTCAGAATGTATTTCAGGAAATAAGACAGATGGGAAGAACCCTTTTGGGGTCAGAACAAAAAATCAAGCATTGACCTCAAAAGCTATCCCTCCAAAAACCTAGATTTTTATTGGATTAGTATGTGGAGCAATTTATGCCCCGGGGCATTGTCGAAAACAATATAGCAATCAGCTGGCAATTAGTAGAGTTTAAAATCTAAGAATAGCCAGCAAAAAAACAAAACAAAAACAAAAACAAAAAACAAAAAACAAATTCTTCCCAATGCAGCTTTCTTTCCACGGTGACTGTTGGCATACCCATCCCTACATCAGTGGCTAAACATTGTGTGTGGTGGGGACTGGGGTTTGGGGGCTGGGATAGATTTCACCAAAATAATTTAGTGAGTCACTAACAAATAAAAACTGCCTATAAGGAAGTCCAGATATGTATCAGATTTATAAGAAAAAGACTTGAAAGTAATAATTAAGAACATTAACACACACGTATGCAAATGGGACCGCCAGAAGGAGAGGCCAGAATAGGGGCAGGGAAAAACAAACAAACAAACAACAAAACAACAAAAAACTGGAAGAAATCATGACTGAAAAATCCCCAGATTTGGTGAAAACTTATACATCTAGGAAGCTCAACAAATTCCACATAGGATAAATAAAAAGGGACCAACTAATAAATATATCATAGGAAAAAACCCAGAAGTTAGACAAGAATAAAATCTTGAAAACATTTACAAATAATTTATTCTCACCTTCAAAAGATCACAGGGCTAAGAGTCAAACGTTCAAATTCAATTCTGCACCTCATAATAGCTAGATGAGTTTTATCAATTACCATCTTTGAATTCCAATTTCCTCACCTATAAAGCAAAATTAATAATTCTAACAAACAAAATTGTTCTTAGACTCATATGTAATTTCACACCTTTTGAAAAGACTGTGAAATCTAAAAAAAAAGCAATCAGAACAGAAACAGACTCATAGAAACAGATAATATTTTCATGGTTTGTCAGATGGGAGGAGGGTTGGTGGGGGATTGGGTGAAAAAAGTGAAGGAATTAAGTAGTACAAATTAGTAGTTATGTTGGCAGCCGGCTCCAGGTGTTAGATCTTAGTTTAGCAGCCTCTGTACTTGAGTTCTGGCTAAGAAAGAATTCAGAGGCAAGACTCAAACTATAAAATAAATTTTATTTAGAAAGTCACAGAGGTAAAAGAATTGAACTATAGGAGAAACGGGCTCAGGAAACAAGTTACAGAGGTGAAAGAAGGGCCTTTGGAGCTTAGGAGGGAGAGAGACACAAAAGTGGGAGGAAAGGCACAGGTGTGCTCCAGAAAATGGAGAGAGAGAGAGAGAGAGAGAGAGAGAGAGAGAGAGAGAGAGAGAAAGAATGCTAGGTTCCCTATCAATTAGGCTTTTATCTGGAAATCTTGGGGGGGGGTTCTAAATAGAATATTCATCTGCTTTCCAGATGTGAGCCCTAAGGGTCTTGGTCTCCACTGATTGGTTGGCACCAGGACAGGGGGTCATTAGTCAATGAAGCTGGTCCTGATGTTAGTCATGGCATTGTTCCATCTGATTTTGCTGCTTCTCTGGACATGTAGCTGAAACATAGCTAAGGCCTAGATGTTTAATGCTTAAGGGAATGGTCCTGTAAGGGCTTGTAGTTTGGCCTGTACCTAGGCACCCAGGGTTCTCCTCTTTGCCCCTGGAATATCCTTCCTACTCTCCTCATGCCTATCTAACTACCAGTACAGTTACAGAAATGTCATAGGGATGTAAAGTACAAAATAGAAAATATAGTCAATAATATTGTAATAACTATGTCAGATGGGTATTAGATTTGCCAGGGTGATCACTTTACTAAGTCATAGAAGTTTACTAAGTTATATAATGTCTAATCACTGGGTTGTGCACCTGAAATTAATATAATACTAGAGGCCCGGTGCACAAAAATTTGGGCACTCGGGGGGGAAGGGGCTCCCACAGCCCGGCCTGTGCCCTCTCGCAGTCTGGGACCCCTCAGGAGATAACGATCTGCTGGCTTAGGCCTGCTCCCGGGTGGCAGAGGGCAGGCCCAATCCCTAGGTGCAGCCCCTGGTCGGGTTCAGAGCAGGGCTGATTGGGGAGTTGGGGCGCTGCCCCCTGTCATGCACAGAGCAGGGAGGATCGGGAGATTGTGATGCAACCCCTAGTCATGCTCAGGATACAGCCGATTGGGGGGTTGGGGCACCGCCCCCTGTCACACTCAAGGCAGTGGTCGATGGGAGGTTGTGGCGCCACCCCCTGTCACGCACAGAGCAAGGCCCATCAGGGGGTTGGGGACTTCCCCCCTGTCTCGCACAGAGCAGGGCTGATTAGGGAGTTGAGGAGCTCCCCCATGTCACTCACAGAGTAGGGCCGATAGGGGAGTTGGGGCACCGCCCCCTGTCACACACAGAGCTGCAGGGCAATCAGGGGGTTTGGGCGCTGCCCCTTATCATGCTGATCCCAGTGCCAGGAGGCCTCGTGGCTCCACTGATCCCGGTGCTGGGAGGCATATTACCCTTTTACTATATAGGATAGAGGCCCGGTGCACGGGTGAGGGCCAGCTGGTTTGCCCTGAAGGGTGTCCTGGATCAGGGTGGGGGTCCCGCTTGGGTGCCTGGCCAGCCTGGGTGAGGGGCTGATGGCTGTTTGCAGTTGGTCACACCCCCTTCAGGGTGGGGGTCCCCACTGGGTGCCTGGCCAGTCTGGGTGAGGGGCTAAGGGCTGTTTTCAGGCTGGCGGGTGACTGAAGCTCCCAACCGCTCCTTTTTTTCTTTTTTTTTTTATTCTGGGCCAGCTTTAGCTCTGAAGCTTGGCTCCAGCTCTGAGGCCTTGGCTGCTGAAAGCAGGTATCTGGTTTGTTTGGGTTCTATAATCAAAACACTGTTTCAACTCCAGCTCTGAGATCCCGGCTGGCTGAAAGCAGGTTTCTGGGGTTTTGTTTAGCTTCTATATTTGTAACAATGTTTCAAACTGCAAGCTCAGAGACCGGCAGCGGCAGGCGGGGAACGTTGGCTTCCTCCGTCACTGAAGCAAGCAAGCCTCCTGTTGGCTTAAAGCTGCCTGGCTGTTGGCCGCCATCTTGGCTGGCAGTTAATTTGCATATCGCCCTGATTAGCCAATGGGAAGGGTAGTGGTGGTACGGCTAATTACCATGTTTCTCTTTTATTAGATAGGATTGTATATGAGCCCAGCCAGTGTGGCTCAGTGCTTGAGTGTTGTCCCAGGAACCAAGAGGTCCCCGGTTCAATTCCTGGTTAGGGCACATGCCCAGGTTGAAGGTTCAATCCCCTGTAGAAGGTGTGTAGGAGGCAGACAATCGATATTTCTCTCTCATTGATGTTTTTGTCTCTCTATCCCTTTCTTTTCCTCTCTCTCTAAAATCAATAAAAACATGTGAAAATATATTGTATATCAACTGTTTTAAAAAAATATTTAAAGTAAAAAATAAATGAATGTCCTAACAAATATAAAATGTTTTTAAAATAATTTGAAGGAAGATACTTTAGAAGCTTGAACTAAGCATCTGGACCAAATATGCTAGTTCACTCTTTGCTTTGCTCCATAAACCCAGCTTAATCCAAACAACTGGCAGGAATGAAGAAAGCCATTTTTTTTTGTATTGAAAAAGCTATTATTCATTTTAAAAAGATACAATTTGTATATCACTACAGGCAAAGAAAATACATTAGTGACATTTGAATAAACACTAGATCAGTATGCTCTAAATCAAGTGTTTTAGGATTTTTTGAGAATTTTATTATTACCAAAGCAGTTATAAAATATGTCAGGGGCTTCTAAGAAGTTGAGGTTATATTTATGTTGATCAATTTCTCTAGAAGAGAAGCATTTATCTAATGATTTTTATATAAAACTAGTGAGAAAAATAAACAGTATTTTTGTGCTCACTTTGCAGCACATGTACTGAAATCGGAACTATACAGCGATTAGCACAGCCCCTGAACAAGGATGACATGCAAATTCATGAAGCATTCTGTATTTTAAAAATAAAAAGAAACAGTATTTTGAATGAATATACTTTATATTGATAATGCTTTGATATTATCTTGATATTATCTAAAATAATGACTTGCTATTAACATAAGATATATATTAATGTACATATATATCACATATAGATAAAAATTTGTGAGAAAAGTGAGATCCTCGAGGAAGACATTGATTCATGAAAATGAACTAGGTTTTCCACCATAGAAATTGGTGGAAATAATATTTCTGTTTCTGCAAAATAGCCAAATGCTTACGGAGATAGTTTTAATTTTGGTAGGACCAAAAATAGTTTTAATATATGATAGTTTCTGATCAAAGTGTACCAGATAGCAATGCTTGTGAATAAAAGTAACACTGAGGTAAACAAGGTGGGGAGGGTAGGATATTTTTCTCACATAAAAAGAAATTTAAAGGTAAGTTGTTCTAAGCATGTATACAGCCTCTTAACAATAGCATCAAGATTCTATGTTTTTTCTCTGTCTTCTTCAATATCTTGTTTTCCCCTGATTGCAAGAAGACTTCAGATCCTAGTATGATATCTGATTGAGACATTCAGAAGCCGGAAAGGAGTGAGGTCAGAAGCCAATGAGACTTTTATCTCATTTATCAAAAGGGAGTAAGAAAAGTGTACGTAAAACTCTCAAGCTGACTTCCGCTCACATTTTCATCTAATCTGCCAGAAATGGAACCATGGACAACCTTAGCTGCAACTCACATGAGAATATATTTAGTTTTATGTTTTTGCTTTAATATTTCAAAATTAGAACCTGAGAAAGATGTTAGGAATAGTTAGCTCTTGGATTATCTGACCAGAAAGATGTTAGGAATAGTTAGCTCTTGGATTATCTGACCAACAACAACTAACAAAAGTACTATGAGAGAAAAAACTATTGGGATATATATATATATGATACGTTTTATTTTTGTTTGCTTTTTCTCAATTTGAAATTTTAATTATTTAAATTGGTTTTCTCATGGGAATGCATGAAGCATATTTTACACTTTTCAAACTCAGTGAGTCTTCTTAATATTTTGAATCCTGCCACTTCAAATTTGCCTGATCCGAGTGCACACAAATGCTGCCATTCTGCACCTGGCTTGTCACAGTGTCCCCCAATGGGGTGATGTCTCTGCCCTTTGATGGAGGACGTCCCCAAAACCTGTGGACGCTCTTCTGAGCACTTTGATGATGGGCAGCACACAGATCCTCACTCAGAGCCTGGACCAGAGCCAGGGTTTGGGACAGAACAGAAACAGGCTGAGACTAGAGCAGGAGTAAATCCTGATGGAAATTTGTGCTTAGTCTTTGTTCTCTGTCCCATGTGCTGAAATGAAGCGGGTGTTCTGTTGCTTTAGGATTCAGACTAACTAGGCATTGCATAATTAAGGTTTGGTCTTCCTGCCTGACACCCACTTCCCAACACTAACATGTTTAAATGTCCCTATGGTACCATCTGATTATCATATAAAGATCCAAGAGGTCCATATATAATACTTTCAAAACAAAGATTTTTAAATAAATAAATAAACGCACCAAAAGAATAAAAAAAATAAAAATATCCAAAAGGTCGAGGTTTTTAAAAAAATCTGTAAATATTTGTCTGTATATATTTTAAATACACCTTTTATTGTTGACAGTATTACAGATATCTTCCCTCTTCCCCCTTTTATCCCCATCCTCCCAGCCCCTATCCCCACCCCCATGTATCCACATTTTCTGACTTCTATCCTACCCTACTGCCCATGCCCATGGCTATGCCTATAAGTATATAAACTCTGGTGTTGAACCTGGTCCCTTGGGTGTCTATCCTGGGCCTCCTGGAAGCTGCTCTAGTGCAGGTGAATGTGAGTCACTGTCCCTTTCTGGCCCTGGGCAACCTGATTGAGGTCCAAGCCGTTGAAGCTCCTACTAGTCCAGTGGTCAGGGACTCCTTAGCCCCGAGGCTGGGTCTGCCTTGAGTCTCACGCCTTGATTGTCTCTGTTCTGAGATGTACTCCTTTCCCCGATGGATTGGTCTCCCAGGTGTCAGCTGCAGGGGCTCAGGGTTGGCGCAGGACTGGCTCAGTCTCTCTGGTGTGCAACTTCCTGTGAGGTACTGGAGCTCACGGCCAGGGTTGCATGAAAGGTCCCTTTGGCTTGCGACTCACTGCACAGGTCCAGGGTCGTGTCCAAGGCTAGTCTGCGTGGTGGTGAGGCTGTGCTCCTAGCAGCTGCCACCCCTCCCTTCAAGATGACCTGGTTTCCAGGCCAGAGCCTTGCCCATAATGGGAGGGCCTGTGGCAGTAGCGGGGACTCTTTCGGAATACCTTTTAAATATTCCAGCACATGTTTCCGAAAAATAATTCCAATTATTATCCTTAACAAGAGTTTCTGCTACCAACTCAAAGACTATATATTAATTTTTGGAATGTTCACAAATGTCCATTGTCTTATTCCAAGAATATTTGTACTTTCCCACCTATTTGAACTCAAGCAGAACCATGCCACATTTTCTGACTCCTATTCATGTGAGTTAGAGAAGGAGGAGGATTCTTCCCAGACCCAGTGAAGTGGTACTTGTCCATGTAGCTTTAACCAGTGGAAAGTAAGTGGAAGTGATGGACTCCACATCTGATCAGAAATTCTAAGAGTCATTGAATAATCTGGCTTATTTCTATTCTCATTTCTCTGGATAAATATGTGAAAGTCAAATTAATTTCTATACTTACTATTTATATCAGAAGAAAACTTTTAGGTTAACTTTCTAAATAAGCAAATAAGAAAATGCTTAAAAATACATGTGATTCTTATAAACAGGCTCTAATTATCACCTGACTACACTGTGCTCGGTGGGGAGGCATCCCCATCCAGTTGAGCTCTGGGGAAATATATCTAGATGGTTTTTTTTGTTTGGTTTTTTTAAAATATATTTTATTGATTTTTTACAGAGAGGAAGGAAGAGGGATAGAGAGTTAGAAACATCGATGAGAGAGAAACATTGATCAGCTGTCTCCTGCACACTCCCTATTGGGTATGTGCCCACAACCAAGGTATATGCCTTTGACTGGAATCTAACCTGAGACCCTGGAGTCCACAGGCCGATGCTCTATTCACTGAGCCAAACCAGTTAGGGCATATCTAGATGTTTTATGCAGACAGAAAACACAAGATCACTAGTAAACAGGACAACAAAGCCATCCACTCCAGCTCCTTTGCTGATACATTTTCTCAAGTTGGGTAGAGACTCTCTAAGTTCTGTGGGGAGGAGTAATGAAGGTGAGCTCAGTGGCTGTAACATTAGCGATGGTAATTTTGGAATAGTCAGTGTTATAAACTATTTCTTCAGCCCATTCTCATCAGCCTAAATTAAATTTTGCTCCAACTGGTAAATCCACTTCACCAGGGCAAGAAGGAGGCAGAGTGAGCTGAGTAATTCTAGGATGCAGTATATGTTATTAAACTCAAAAGCATCATGATCCTAATTGAGACAATGACTGTAATCCTAAGATTAAAGATGCTTTGCAATTAATTACCTTGTGGTCTTTAATGCAGGCTAATTAGAGGCAGGGACCTTTATCAGATAGTTTCATAAATAACTAAATACTTTTATATATTTTGGTTACTAAAGTCTATACCTTCAAATTAGCTTACATTTTCAATGCTTAGTTCTATGTAATTTAAGAACATTCAGAATGATGGGCTTCTAAATTATTATAAAGTAGTATTTATTCCTTGAGAATATTTTATATACTTCTCAATAAACCATATTTAAAATGTCCTTAGGCAGTTTTATTATGTTGATAAATACAAAGATTAAACTATGTATAGTGAAATATCTTTTTAAAGTTGTAAAAATTTTAAAAATAAATCTAAATATTTATAAGAACACTGAAAGGAAAATGAAAAAGAACAAACAAGATCTAATGCAACAATAACAACAGAAACTTTATTTTTTTATTTTTTGATGAATTAACAATTCATGCAATTTGCTCAAATCAACTACATGTATTTGACAAAGATATGCAGTGTAAAGTCTTGGCTAACTAAAACAAAGTTTGTATAGCAAGTATCCTATCTAATAATAGAGAAACATGGTAATTAACCGTAACTTTGCTACCCTTCCCATTGGCTAATCAGGGCCATATGCAAATTAGCTGCCAACCAAGATGACGGCTGGCAGCCAGGCAGCTGAAGCTAACAGGAGGCTTACTTGCTCCAGTGATGGAGGAAGCCAAGGTTCCCCGCCTGCCGCTGCCGGCCTCTGAGCTGCAGTATAAGAAACAATGTTGCAAATATAGAAGCTAAACAAAGCCTAGAAACCTGCTTTCAGCCGGCTGGCCTCGGAGCTGGAGCTGAAACAGTGTTACAATTATAGAACCCAAACAAACCAGATACCTGCTTTCAGCAGCCGAGTTCTCAGAGCTGGAGCCAAGCCTCAGAGCTAAAGCCGGCTCTCAGTTCCAGTGATAGCCATAGAAAGTAAATAAATCCCAGAATTTAAAAAAAGAAAAAGAAAAAAAGGAGAGGTTGGGAGCTTCAGTCGCCCGCCAGCCTGAAAATGACCCTCAGCCCCTCACCCAGACTGGCCAGGCACCACAGTGGGGACCCCCACCCTGAAGGGGGTGTGAACAGCTGCAAACAGCCATCATCCCCTCACCCAGGCTGGCCAGGCACCCAAGCAGGACCCCCACCCTGATCCAGGACACCCTTCAGGGCAAACCAGCCGGCCCCCACCCGTGCACCAGGCCTCTATCCTATATAGTAAAAGGGTAATATGCCTCCCAGTGCCGGGATCAGCGGAGCAGTGAGGCCTCACTGCCCCGGTGTCAAGTGGAGCTGTAAGGCCTCCCAGCACTGGGATCAGCGGAGCCCGCGAGGGCTCCTGGCCCCTGGAGCAGCTTGACAGGGGGCAGCGCCAAACCCCCTGATCGCCCTGCGGCTCTGTGTGTGACAGGGGGCGGGGCCACAACCTCCCTATCTGCCCTGCTCTGTTCGTGACGGGGAAGGCGCCTC